TTTTCAGCTCTTTTTTTTGGCCCTTTGTACTTCTTTCTGTTCATCGTTTTTTGCGCTTTTTTCGTTGTTACCGCTTTATTCTAGAGTAGTTCTATCAATTCCCGTCAAAAAAGGGTACCCTAACTTTTTTGTTAACGGTGCCTTTAACCTCTCTAGATATTTGGCAAGCATTTCATACACGAATGTAATCCGTTCGCGAACCTGGTATAGGAACATTGTCTCGGTCAAAGATTATTCGTTGTCGTCAGAATTTTGGCCTTTATACATATTAGATTGATGCATGACTTTTTCCCCGTGTTTGATCCTTCCGTATTTCGTTTGCATAGTTGTTGGTATTTAGGCATCACGTGCGTGACCTGTGCATGATACCCTCTCATCACAATAGCTATCACTCACCCATCCTGCATATGCAGACGGCAATGCCGCTCAAATACCACTGGGACAGAATGTACCTGCGCCACAGCCTGGTTTTACTCCATGATTTCGGCTGGAACGCAAAGGAAGCCCATAATAAGCTAGTGATTACATACGGCCAAAATGTCACCTCTTACCGCATATGCAAGATTTGGTTCGCCAAATTCAAGAAAGGAGACTTAATTCTTGAAGATACTCTAAGGTCTAGCCGGCCAATGGAGTTGGATTTGGAAGTACTACGTTCTACCGTGGGAGCGGACCCGTACCTAACCTCCAAGAAAATAGATATCATGCTCGGCTATAATCGACGATTGTACGTGGACATCAGCTCGGCAAAGTAGCAAAGCTTGGTTGGTGGGTCCCACATGAACTGTTCGCTTATGACCTCTCGAGGAGGGTGGTCATCTGCACTTCTCTCCTCATTTTCGGAAGGAATCTCCACTTTTTTAGCCAACTGGCGATGAGAAGTGAGTTCTCTATTATGCCTCTGTGAGGAAGCGGCAGTGGGTCGACAAAGGAGAACAATCAGAAGCAAGCTACCCAGGCCGAGCTGGAAAAGTAAGGATGGCTGATTGTCGCCCAGCTCCCCCATAGCCCTAACCTCGCTTCTTCCGACCAGTGGGTGTTCAGCCAACTGCAGCGCTTCCTCGACGGAAAAAAGTTTGAAACAGAAGATGTCATATGATGATGTCAGAAAGGCACTCCACTACCACTTCAGCAACAACTGACTTGACTTGTCCGAGAAGATAAAGTCTCTGTCCGAATTCGATGATGGAGTTTTTTTGAAGAATAGAACCGGTAGATTTTTACAGACAAACTATGTTCTGCAGAATCCCGCTAGTTTCTAATTACAGACCGGTTGGGTTTCGCCATGCAGCCGTCGAAACTGGCAATTGCATCCTACTGGTTGATTATCTTCAATTCTTCGCCATACGCTTTTACCTCGATATAATAGCACTCAAAATGATGTGTCTGTGTTAGGGAAAGGAAAAACAAACCACAAAAAATGGTAGAAGAAGTTACAGGGTTACTTCTACTATATTATAGCTATTGAACTGCATAAGACTCGTTCACTCATGACATAGAGCAGACGAAAATACATATTATCTACAAAGGACCTCGGTTCCAGTGTTTTTCCAACCTCTCAGTAGGTACCCGGATTTTGAACTTGATATACAGGAACGGCTCATTGATCAGTGCTAAGTTACTCGGATACAATAGGTAAGTACTCAAAGTCTTACGGGAGGATTGATAATGAAGTGCTAGAGTTCAGAGTTAGCAATGAAAATCCTCCTGCCTAAGTAGTTTACTAAACGTATACAACGCTCTCAAGGAAAGGAGACGAAAAGAAAGAATGGGTCACTATGGCCTTATGCATCCAAGTTCTCGTTTTCCGCTTCCTTCACCATCCAGTTATTGGAAGTACCAACATTGGACCTGTTGACATGGAACCCATCCAGACAATTCGACTGTCAGTAGGTCTAATGCTTTTGCGGGACGAAACATCGAGCCACTACAAAGAGGAGTGACAGGATTTTCTACAGAATTCTGGGCTCACATTCCTGAGCGCTTTAGTTTGAATGAGCTCGTTGCTGTATGGAAGCCATTTGATTTTTTCTCTATCTGATGTTCACTCCATTTGGGCACGCAGCCACTGTTTAAGGGCATGTGCCGTTTGGTCACACACTCAAGCATGACGACAACGATACGTGAAGAATCCGGTGACGAGGCATACGAATTCCCCGCAACATCAACGATGTTAGCTGTCCAACTGTTGCCCAAATGTTCAACCTTACTTCTCGATTTGTTACCATCTAGGAGATCTCACGAACACAATTTGGTTTTGCGGTTTCAGAAACTTCAAGTACCCGAACTCCCGAATAAATAATAATTATAATGTGTTCAGTGTCCTTTGTTCGCCTTCGCAGGCGTTTTGAACATCAATGCGAGCCGTCCATGAAGCTCTCCCTAAGCATAGGGTACCAGCTAGAGGTATTACTAGATCCACTATGGGATCCGAAGTCCCATCGATATCCGTCCATACCAAGCAGGGCTTCCACACCGAATGGAGTCAACTAGTTAAATTTCCGACTGGTTTTGAAGGATCATGGCATCAACTTCTTTAGCGGGAACATTCGCAAGTGATTGTGTCATTTAGTTTACTACAATCCTAAATCGAGTGCGAATGCGTGGGACACCACTCAATGGGATCGATGAATGTCCAACGTCGCTGTCAACCCTCCATATCCTTCTAGTCATTGTAATGGATGAAATGTGCCAATTTTTAACAGGGAGTAAAAAAGCCAGAGCTAGTTAGAATTTCAGAAGTCAACCACAAAGATATTCGATCGCCTATGCTGGAAATGATAGCCATTTTGGTCATGACAGTTTACAGCCGCTAAGTAAAAACCCTCGAAGGATGGCATTGTTTCTTTTTGTTATCATAATTTTGTCACTCGTCGTTGGACGGTTATCCTAAAAACAAACATCTCCGATCAGGAGAGCCGATTTCCTGTTATCATCGTCGGCCAGCTTGCTCTCAAAACAGATGTTTGAGTTTGTGGACAAACACTAAACAGACCCACCCCTTGAAAGCATTTAAATTCTGCACCAGAAAGGATCTTTTGTTCACATGAGTGGAAATTCTAGTAGTGACGTATAGTGAGGACTAAGGAGACCTTTGTATCTGGAATAACCAGATCTTTTTCTTTTATCTTTTCTATTTTCTTTTCCTTTTCATTGATTCCGAGCCCATTGCTCTCTTCATACTGCACTATCCCTGGTCGTAAACGTTTCTCTCCCCCATCCTTCACAATACCCTTTCTGCTTTTCCGAGTCCGACCTCTGGGCTCTCTCCTCTGGTTCTGAGTGATCACCCACATGAATGGCTGTTTAGTTGCAGATATCCCTTGACATGATTAGCCAACTATCACTGCTGAGCAGTCTCGTAGCCTTGGCTGCAGCCCAGCTCTGTCCACCCGCATGCCTTCAGGTCGGTTCAAGTGAATTCTGAAGTTTCTCAAATAATTCGAACTTGGAAACGTCAGATTATCTCCGAAATTGCTCGGTGGCCTGAAATTCAATTCCTTTCAAAACCACATTAACTATTTCCAGCAGTCACATCAGAATGCTCTGCGTCCTTTTTGCCCAAAATTACATAAAAAGTTGTGCGACCGGGACTGCTAATATTATTTCCACTAATGTCTTTGCTAATGACTTTGCAGACGTTCAATACTGGATGTGGTGGATGTTCCGGAATACGAGCATATCGACTACCTCCTCCACCGATGGTGATGATGATGCCTCCTCCACCACTAATACGTCCCATATATAGTGAGTTCTATTAGCACTAGTGATCCTTTAATGTATATCTTTCAAAAATAGTATTTGAATCGAGCACAAGCAGTACATTGCAAGTTTTGCACCTCAATCCATGGTCCGGGAATCGGAACCAGAGTTGATATTTGTCACAGCCAACCAGGGTTTCCGCTTCATTGAAAGTGGTCGGCTAACCGGTACCAATCCCCTCTGAGAGGGTTAGGGCCCTGCCTTCCATATTGGCTAACTTTTGGAGCCATTACTAAGGCCATAAGAGCGTTCACAATCCTCTCCTATTCTGTGGCTCGTCCCGAAGCCGGATAGATCACCGTCAGATGTGTTCAGACTCTTAAATATTATCTTGCCCATAACAGTCAATCATCAAATTGCTCAAATGGGTGAGAGCGATATCCTCACTCGAATCTATCACAAATCAAGGTAGCCCACTAGTCTCTCTCGTCTCGAGGAAATCCAAACCCTCGTCAGCAAACCAACCAAGCGTTTCGAGTTTCAAGAAGACACCTGGATATCGGATCAGCAGAAGTACTTGCGTTCGTTTAATGTCCACAAAAGTCCGTTCGGTAGCCTGCCTAGTTTAACTGCCACTGTACGTTTTATCCTACCATTCTTTGCGTGGGCGGCAGCGAAAACAAAAACTTCCTTAAAATAGGTGAAAGTAGACCAACTAGCCGGAAATGCTATCATAGTATTTGAAAATGCCTCGTCAACATTCAAAGACATGAGGTGAATTTCAGATCCATGTGGCGGTCTACCTTGTGCTCCCCAGACACAATATATACCACCATGTGGAGGTGGCGGATGCGGTAATGTAGGACAACAGGCGACCTACGGTATCCCCGATCCCATCATCACCGAATCAGGTACCTTTTAACTTTATCTTGCACTGCCACATTATCTTGGGCAGTCTGTCTTCCAATGTTTATTGAGTACTGGCCTGTGCTCTTTCAGGACGTGTCATCCAAGCTCCATTTCAACCTCCTCCTTCGCTTCCACCTCCTGGTGTCCAACAAACGAATTATAGCCCTGGAAAATAACTAATTAAATTTACGGTATAATGTTGCTCACAGATTCTATGAGTAATAAATATTTCTTCTCGATTGGTCTCGTTTTTCACTCCGAAGATCACATGTTAGTAAAGTAAATGTAGCATACCTGGTCTTGAAGTCCTCAAAGCTCGCAATATTCTCAATGCCTTCTAAGCAGATACCATAGGTTATTCACTATCAAACACAAATAATGAGGACTGGTAAGTTTTCAATTGTTCCTATGCCTTTTGGATTCGCCATATACTTGCGACCCACTCGAAATTGCTAGAGACATGGAAATGTGTTTAAGGTTTATTAGCGCGTCTTAGCTAAAGCTTGGAATGTCCTTCTTCATTGCTGTGATACAGTCTAGATGCCGATCACCGAAGATGGACTTACAGAGACCTGCTCAATCCATGTGGGATACCTTGTATCTGATGGGACAAAGCTCGTGCCCTAGCGAACCTTCCAACTAGGCGGTCTCAGAACAATCTGATTTATGAAAGCTTCAGGAGACAAGAAAAGAGTAGAAGTTAAGCTCAAAGAAATGATAGCAATCCTATGCAAAAGTCTGAGGCTTGCAGGACATCAACATTCGTTCAAGTTTGTAGATTGAGCGGTGAAGTGACCATTATTCTCGTCGTCTCAGACTGTTTCATTTGGCTACTTCTTGATGGTAATTGCTTCTCGAGGAGAAGTGGACTAGACACCATATAAATACAGGTGCTGGCCTAATGGAAAGGTGCAACAGCTAGAATAATTCTTTACGCGCTTTTATTTAGAGTGGTAGGGGCTGTGAAAGGCAAACTTTCTCGTCACAATTTCTTGATGGGAAAGCTGGTGTGCAGGTTGGGGCTCCTCACATCAATTCCTCGAAGAATACCGGAAGGGTGAATGGCTCGATTCATCTGGGTTTGGTAGCTAACCGCACATGGGGCAGTTGCTCCAGTTATTTCCATTAGCTCTGTATGTTATGGAGCCATCCAAGCAAGAACTTGGAATTTTAACCCACACATTTGAAGTGTCCGTTTTTCAAATGGAAATGGTTGAATCTTTTCAAATTAGATGAAACAGATGAGATCAATTCTGCAAGTGATATTCTACACAAGCTGACTGCGTGGCTCACCCCCAAACGGTAGTGAGATCTCTTCTTAATAAAGTTGGATTGCAGATCTCAAGTTTTTTTTTGGAATAAAGTTTTCTTCTATACAGAAGTAGAGAAAAAAATGTCTGGCTATGGCTATTGTTTACTGAATGGGTTCTGAGAACAAGCTCAGTCAACACAACGGGCGGGGTCTTGAGTGCTATTGGCTAGCACATAATGGCTTATGTACACACTTTCCTTGCAAACATCTTCATCGATATCCAGGAAATTCACTGAAAAACGACTTCTATCTCAAGCAAGNGACCGTGAAATATCGCACGAGCCAAAAGGGCCTAGTTAATAGCTCTAGAATCCCCCGAAACGTTACCACTTTCGAGATCTGCGCATTTATGTGAGGTATAACCCCATGAGCAAATTTGTACCCAAATGAAGATAAAGTTTTCAGAGTTGGAAAGTCTCAGACTTCTACAAAATCAGAAGTGCCCTATTGATAAGGTATCAAGGCTACCAGAACTCCATATGCAGCTGTTTGGCAGGATCCTGCCAAGTTGATGGAAGACCCTGTTAGGATGAGAGGTCTAAGAAATTTGCTCTGCGTATTATAATACTCTGTCGTAGAGGTTTGTTCTGATAAAACCACTCTACTCGGTCGACGTTTGGGACAAATCGTCGTCTTCAAGGTCTTGAAAGGTATTCGGAGCCGCTAGACTAGTTGCACAGAGTTGCACAGATTACATTACTGGAATCTTTCGTAGTTCTAGTTTTCGATAGTTGCAACTTTTCACCACCTTTGGAAGCCCGATGAGCCATAAAACAAGACCTTCAAACTATTTTCACGTATTTGATGAAGGTGTTCCGTCTCAAAGGTGACTCTAATAAAGCGGTCCATTTATGACTATTCTGTACAATAAAGCAGTATAAATGCTTTCCAAATGGTTGTCCAGCCTACACTCATGCAAAAGTCATTTTAGAATTACTTCTGAATCCATACTCGAAAATTAATGTATGCTGAATTAAGTACTGGAGACTCTTGGAGACGATACTGTGTTCTTAATGTCCACAACATTGAATACCGAATCAAACCCCATCTCCCGGTAAAAAAACAAAGTTCTGATAAAGCTGGTCACGCGTAGGCCTGCTGTACTCAAGTCGCGTAGGCTCACGAAACTGTTTGTTTGCATTTCGCCTCAGCACATTTATAGCATGCAAAAAGCTTAGGTACCACAAAAAATGGCGAGAAGACGTTCATGCCGAGAAAGCTGAGAGCTCGGTTCGCTCTTGAGATAGAGATTCTCTTCAGAATTCGCACTTGTGATAGGCCGGAAAAAGCTCTGGTATGACATTGTTGATTGTTTATCCAAAACAATTTGGTCTTAAGAGGACAGGATTTCAAAAAGTCAGAAACCGCAGTTTGGTCAACTTCGAATAAGAAGTTGGAAGGCACTGCAGCAGGATGATTCTAATCGTCTCGTTAACTAACGTTCGTTAGGGTTCATGGGATAAGGATAGAAAAAATGACTTGTGAGGGATTGAGGAAATGCACATTCTATTCCAGTGAACAGATAGAAGGAATGGAAGCTCATACACTACCTCTAATTGGAATGCACCACCCATACATTCCTTTCCCAAGATTCTTCATATATATGAGCAATATTTGAATGAAAAGACATGGGAACTTTATATTTCTATCCTGTCGCAGAGTTATAAGAGGTGACACAATCACGCCGAGCATAGCTGTTGGATCAAATCCTTGAAAACTACTCGCCTGAGCAAACTATTCCATATTTTCGGGATCGGATCATGCCATACTTGCTTGGAAGAAATGGAGTATGCATTGACTTAGAGGGCTTATCGTTCCATATCCAGGGCTGCTTCATATCCCTACTCAGATTGATCATCGGGAAAAAGTTTTTCTTGTCCCGGTCGAGTTCCAAAGAAACCAGTTCCGTTTAAGTATTTAATGTAAGACAGAATTGGATTTGAATTTTTCTTGCAATGGCTCCAAGCAGAAAAAGTTCTGTAATTTTCAAAGTCATTAGGCTAGGTAATTGCCAATCATTTCGGAATGGTTCCAGGATTGGCACACTTCTTGAGTGGGTCACTTCAAGCCTATGTTCCCGGTGATTTCTAGTCTCGTGAACAAGCTTACGACAGGTGTAGGGATGTTTGCGAACACTTTACGCAGAAGGAAGGCTATATAACGGTCGTTCAGGATATGCTCCAGACCAGGCTATCGTTAGTCCGTCACTTTACAGTACGGCAACCATCCACGATTGCACTCTCTTTTGTGGCTCTTTCAGGTTTAAACTCCTACTCAGGCTGAGTGCCAGGATTAAGCTCAGGCTTTGCTCGTTGTCAGCTTCCCTACTTCGATGTATCATCTTTGCATACCAGCACAAGAACAGAACTCTTTCAGGGAATGTCAGCTATTATATTTGCTGCCCTCTTGGCTGTAGCCGCTGCCCAGCCCTGTCCTGGCTGTGGACCTGCTTTCTTCGCACCACCGCCCTGCTTCAATCCGCCATGTGCACCTCCACCTCCGCCACCGGTACTTCTTAACCTCCTTCTGTGAAATTTCTCTATAAGTAATGAGTCCATATTTTCAGATGTTCTTCATGCCGCCACCACCTGCTCCCTGCATGGGTGTAGCCTGTGCTCCTCCTCCTCCTCCTCCGCCACCACCACAAATTTTCCTGGCACCGCCACCGTGTGTCGGAGTAGCCTGTGCTCCACCACCACCACCTCCACCACAGGTAGCTTGTTTTTCTACAATTTACTCCTTGAATTCACAATTTGTTTTGTTAAGGTAATCTACGCGTTGGCACCACCACCACCACCTCCATGTGTTGGAGTGGCCTGTGCACCACCGCCACCACCACCGAGGATCGTGTTGCAAGCACCTCCTCCATGTATGGCTCCCCCATGTGCACCTCCACCTGTCTTCTTGAACCCACCATGCTCCGGGTTCGGTTGCGGTATGGCTCCACCTCCTCCACCTCTTCTTTTCGGTTCCGTACCCTGCTGCTCCATGACGGGTGAGACATACAGATCCAGGACCACATTCAATCTGATGCTCGTATAAAATGCTCGCTTTCAGATTTCTCATGCTGCCCCCGTTTGTTCCGTAAAAGGCAAGCTGATGAATCTGAGAGAGTGACCGAAGAGGTAGAGGAAACGACAGAACAGCCTAAGGAAGTAACAGAAGGGACTGAACAAGTTGCAGAAACTTCTGAAACAGGAGAGGAGAAAAGAAACTAGGAATTGGAAATTTCGTTGGTATCTGTACATTTTGAGACTTCCAATAAATTATTATAATTTTTTTCACTTTTCACGTTGCTGTTGTTTTTTT